ATACATGTAAGTATTTATATCTTCATTTTTAATGACACTATTATCTTTCAATTAATTCAATGGAATTTTTCTTTGATAGTAGGTAAACTGACCCTGTATCATCTCAATGAGTTAGCAGAGTTTAACAAGCATCTCAAATTCACAATTGAAATTATTTTATTTTTATTTAATTATTTATTTTTGAGACAGAATTTTCACTCTGTCACCCAGGCTAGAGTGCAATGGTGTGATCTTGGCTCACTGCAGCTTCTGCCTCACAGGCTCAAACAATTCTCGTGCCTCAGCCTCCCGAATAGCTGGGACTACAGATGTACACCACCATGCATGACTGTTTCTTTTTAAGTAGAGATGGAGTTTTGTGATGTTGACCCGGCTGGCCTTGAACTCTTGGCCACAAGGGATCTGCCCACCTTTGCCTCAAAAATTGCTGGGATTACAGGCATGAGACACCATGCCCAGCCCACAGTTGAATTTATTTTGGTGAAATTTGGGATAAGGTATTGATCTCATAAAGTTTGAGCTCAGTTTTGTTGTTGTTGTTGTTGTAGCTGTTTTTGTAGAGATAGAGTCTCACTCTGTTGCCCAGGCTGGAGTGCAGTGGTGCGATCTCGGCTCACTGCAACCTTTGCCTCTTGAGTTCAAGCAATTTTCCTGCCTCAGCCTCCCAAGTAGCTGAGATTACAGGTGTACACCACCATGCCTGGCTAATTTCTTTTGTATTTTAGCCGAGATAGAGTTTCACTATGTTGCCCAGGCTGGTCTCAAACTCGTGAGCTCAGGCAATCCACCCACCTCGGCCCCCCAAAGTGCTAGGATTACAGGCATGAGCCACTGCACCTGGCCTGAGCTCAGTTTTTTAAAATCACATTTGAGGTCTGTTATGTTGAATCCACAGGACAATTAGATAAGCTCATTGTCTTATTTGTGAGATAATTGCTAAAATTTTTGGCTATGGGAACACTGATATTTCCATAACCTTGAGATTCCTCATCTGATCCTATAAGGAGTGGTGTTTTGAAGAAGGATTGCATCGTGGAATGTAATGGGCCATAGGGTTTGGAGCTGGAAAATCTGTATTCAAGTCCCAAATTAAACCTGCAATTGTCTTTTTGTTCAATTGTTATATGGATAATTCTATATTATTATATACAATTGTCACTTTTTCCCCTGTAAAGTAGTATTAACCATAGAACCCTCTCAGAGTTGAAGGGAAGATTAAGGGAAATAGATTGTGAAAGGCAGCTTTCTGAACATGAAGCTCAGTGATGGTTGTTTTTTTATCTGACTATCCATGGTTTCTTTTTAAAATTTCGGTGTACTTTGAATTTTTAACATTCTTTGTTTTTCACCCAAAAATTAATTTTATATAAACATTGTTTATATGCAGATTGTAAGCTATATAAGGATACTGTCCCTAGCACAGTGCCTTAATTGAATAGAAAGGATATTCAATTAATATGTTTTGGATGAATGAACAAACACATACAATAGTTTTTTAAAATGGAAAATATTGTGCTTGATAGAAAGTAATGCTAAAATAAGCAAATGAGTCTCTTCAAATAAATTGTACTGTGCTGGAGGATGTAGACTTGTAAGAGTTATTACTCAATGTACTCAATACATTCTACATAGAGGAAGGAGCTGCATGCAGAGGCAATTCAGAGCAGCACTGACTAGTTAGAAACAAGTGAGTCAGGAATGGTGTCACAGAATAAGTGGCATCTGATCTGTGTCTTGAATGTCAAGAAGGACTTGTCTGGCAAACAAGAATAAGAAAATTTCAGACTGAGGAAAAGTAAAGATGAAGGCTGAGGTGTTGATATCTGTGATAATCCATTCTGCGATATTATATAAGGTGTAAACTATCAAAATCTCTTTGTGATAATCCATTCTATAACATTATATAAGGTGTAAACTATCACAATCTGTTGTGATAATCCATTCTACAACATTATATAAGGTGTAAACTATCACAGTCTCTTTGTGATAATCCATTCTACGACATTATATAAGGTGTAAACTATCACAATCTCTTTGTGATAATCCATTCTACAACATTATATAAGGTGTAAACTATCAAAATCTCTTGCTGGTGAAGCACTCTTTTCATCTACTCTCTTTTAAAAGTTAGTATAAGGTTATAAATATCTAATGGCATTTCACATCATTTCCACAAGGAAATCTTTCTCCTAAGTAGAAAGTTATTTCTAAGGGCTCTAGTCATCATGTGCATGTACTTGATCGCTGTGGTATCTGTCCTTGAGCAGGCATCTCATACTAGTCATTCATCATGTCATGACAATGTATTTTATGGAGCTGAGGCAACGTGGCCAGGGATCGTTACATCAATCCCAGCACACTAAATTCAACTGAGGATAAGCTGCACCCAAAGCCTCTCTAAAGAACACCGTGGACTAGTTCTTAACATTAATCTGTGACACTAACTGTTGACAGGAGAGTGACAAAATATCTGTTATTTCCCACACCAGCATTAGAAGAATTTCAATGGTTTTAATGATTCTAAAAATGTCTGAGGTAAGTCAAGTGCAGATTGGAGAATCCCATGTTTCAGATATTTGCTTAAAGTTCTCATTTCCCATAACTTCTCTATAGCACTCCAGACCTCTGGCCACCCTAATGCATCTGCCCTCACATGTGTATACAGGTGTGTGAGCACCATTCACCCCCCCACTCCCAACACCTTGATTTTGCTTAGTGACACAATGGTATCCTAATTTCCATTTTCTTTTTTTTTTTTTTTTGAGACGGAGTTTCGCTCTTGTTACCCAGGCTGGAATGCAATGGCGCAATCTCGGCTCACCGCAACCTCCGCCTCCTGGGTTCAGGCAATTCTCTTGCCTCAGCCTCCCGAGTAGCTGGGATTACAGATACGCACCACCGTGCCCAGCTAATTTTTTGTATTTTTAGTAGAGACGGGGTTTCACCATGTTGACCAGGATGGTCCCGATCTGCTGACCTCGTGATCCACCCGCCTCGGCCTCCCAAAGTGCTGGGATTACAGGCTTGAGCCACCGCGCCCGGCCCTAATTTCCATTTTCTATGAAATCTCCATCTCTCTCCCTTACTTCTCTTCCTCCTCTGGCCCTCATAACATGGCAATCCACAAGGGTTCCATCTCTTGCTCCTTAGAGAACTCCTTTTCAGTCAAAGCTTCAATCATAACTTAGCAGCTAAGTAGTAGGTAGCTTAGCCGATTCTGATATCTGAACCTTGATTTCTGAATATTCATGTGGCTCCAGTCCTATAGGCTTTGTGAACCACTGACACTTTGATTGATGTGTCCAGGCTCCAACCATCATTATCTTCCTCAAACCAGTTTACTTCTCTACCATCCGTGATGTGTCACAGTCCTAGGCACCCTAGTCACAACTGAGGAGTCAGCTTTTATACACATCGTACTACAAAACCTGCATAAAACATGGAGAAATCAAAACACAAGGATGTCTGTGACTTTGCTTCATTACCATCCTGAGGACTTGGAGCACTGATTCTCTCCTGAAAGGCTAAACTTCTAATTAAAAAGTGAATTTTTTTCTTGTTTATTTTTTACTTTAAGTTCTCAGGTACATGTGCAGATTGTGCAGGATTCTTACAAAGGTATACACATGCCATGGTGGTTTGCTGCCTTCATCCCCCCATCATCTACATTAAGTATTTCTCCTAATGTTATCCCTCTCCTATCCCCCACTATCCCTCCCCTACCACTCCCCTCCCCCAACAGGCCCTGGTGTATCATGTTCCAACAGACACTTCAAAAGAAGACTTTTATGCAGCCAACAAACATATGAAAAAAAGCTCATCATCACTGGCCATTAGAGAGATGCAAATCAAAACCACATTGAGATACAATCTCACGCCAGTTAGAATGGTGATCATTAAAAAATCTGGAGACAACAGATGCTGGAGAGATGTGGAGAAATAGGAACAGTTTTACACTGTTGGTGGGAGTGTAAATTAGTTCAACAATTGTGGAAGACAGTGTAGTGATTCCTCAAGGACCTAGAAACAGAAATTCCATTTGACCCAGCAATCCCATTACTGGGTATATACCCGAAGGATTATAAATCATTCTAGTATAAAAAGTGAATTTTCTTTTTTTCCTTCTCCTTGACCACTTTCGTGCAGGTCATCTTGAGCCCAAAATCTTATTATAACAGAAGACGCTCTTAAGGACACACCATATATAGGTTATGGTTTCATTTCATTTAAATCACTTGCAATGAGTTGTAAATAAATCAATGTTTTCTATCAATTCCTATCTCACCTTTCTTGGCCCCATCCAACAAGATCACTCTTTACTAGCTTTAGCTCACCCCATTTGTACACAATTGAATAAAATCCCAGCTCCTCCTGATGGTGTTTTGGTTTCTAAGGGGAAAAGGCATTTTTATCTCTTATCTACAAATAATCCCTTAAATTTTGGCCAAAACTGTCTTCCTTCCAGATCAACTCATCTCAAGAAACAACTTAAGTTCACAATACCTATTGGACAACATGGTGACTACAGTTAGTAACAGTGCAGTGAATCACAATTCAAGTATACATGAAAATTGCTACAAGTATATTTTAAGATACAAAAAACATCATAGGAAGTAATTATCGTGGTTAATTAGCTTGATTTAGCCATTCTACAATGTATACATATTTCAAAACATCCTGTTGTATACCATAAATAGACATGATTTTTGTAAATTAAAAATAATTAAGGAAAATAATGTTTGCATTATTTTGATGCAATATATACTGCATCAAAATCTCTTGCTAGTCAGACACTCTTTTCATTTACTCTTAAAAATTAACACAAGATTATAAAAACCTAATGTCATTTTGTACTAGAATAAATCAAATACCCTAATTGTAGTTTGGTATAAAAACATCAGGGAATATGCTCTTTGATCTATTAATATGTACACAAAACATTTAGATTCCTTTTAAATTAAAAGAAACAAATAGGTATTTTATAATTTAAGAAAATTGTTGTGCTGGCTTTGGCATCACATATGCTAAAGTTGGAAGAAGACAGAGAAGATTAGCATGGCTCCTGTGCAAGGATGACATGAAATTCGTGAAGTGTTCCATATTTTCATAAATAAAAAAATACAATTGTAAATAAGATATATTAAAAAAGAAGTATTTTCAGGGAGAGGCCCATCAGCAAAGCACTAAGATACTGAGGACATAAATACAAAACCATCTCAATTGTGAATTGCTGGTTTCTTTTTTTTAAAAAATTATACTTTAAGTTCTGGGGTATATGTGCAGATTGTGCAGGTTTGTTACATAGGTATACATGTGCCATGGTGGTTTGCTGCCTCCATCTCCCCATCAGCCACATTAGGTATTTCTCCTAATGTTATCCCTCCCCAATCCCCCCAGAATAGGAACAGACACTTTTCAAAAGAAGACATTTATGCAGCCAACAAACATATGAAAAAAAGCTCATCATCACTGGCCATTAGAGAAAGGCAAATCAAAACCTCATTGAGATACCATCTCATGCCAGTTAGAATGGCAATCATTAAAAAAATCAGGAGACAACGGATGCTGGAGAGGATGTGGAGAAAGAGGAACACTTTTACAGTGTTGGTGGGAGCGTAAATTAGTTCAACCATTGTGGAAGACAGTGTGGTAATTCCTCAAGGACCTAGAAATAGAAATACCATTTGCCCCAGCAATCCCATTACTGGGTAGATACCCAAAGGATTATGAATCATTCAATTATAAAGACACATGCACACATACATTTATTTCGGCACTGTTTACAATAGCTGGTTTCCCTTTTATGCATTCTAGATGAAGTTTCTATATCGTCTTTCCTTTTATTTCTGTAAAATTCCACCTAGCTCCCCTGGGCTGTTTACTTGCTCTATTTTATTCACTCTGACTCTCTCTTTCCATTTCCAGCTTCTAAAACGTCATCCTGTATCCTCTTGATGTTATCTTTGATTCTTTTCACTTTTCAAATATACTACTCTCAAACCCATGTAGAATGGCCTCACTCCTTTTTGGATAAATGCATTTCTGGGCTCAAAACAGTAGGCAATCTTGTCTCCTGTGCCTAAATAACATCCACAGGCTTGTCCTGAAAAGACCAGCCAGTCTTATCCATGTTCATAATTACCAACCTCATCACCTTTCCAATCCATCCTTCCCACTATTTCCAGGCTAATCATGGCACAATACTACTTTGTTAGGTTATCTCTTTCCTCTTTCCCTGCTGGACAAAAACAGAGCAGGTGACTCCTTAATGCTCACAGAATAAACGTCAGAATAAGGCTATGCTCATAAATGAAGAAAAAATAGACTGTCATAAAATAATGTCATAGGCACAGGCTAAATAGTGTCTATGTGAAAATGAGTAAGACACTATGTCACACATCAGTAGTGAGGGCTACTGATCTACAAGAGTTAACTCTAACACACAATAAGAGTTATAAGCAAAAAAATTATATTTACAAAGGAAAACAAGGATTTTTCTGAGGCATTTAAGAAGATAATGTTGGGAACACAACTCAGAGAAAGAAATACCATTATTTTTTTGCCCTCAAAGAGATTACCAGACAGTTAGAGAAACTATCGTTATACAAAGCAATGTTTTACATTTATTGAATTTAGAGGTAGTGGATATTACTCTCTAGGGAAAGGTTCATGGAGAAGGTGAGACTTCAACTTAGCTTTGAAAATAAGAGTCAAATAAAAGGCAGGACATGAAAGAATGTTTCAGGTAAAAAATGGTCGTAGCAGAAGCCCATGTTGAACTGCAAACCCTGTACAAAATTTAAAAAAGCAAATAGACCAGTTTGATTCAAAAGAAAATACTGTGTTCATAGGTACTTGGAAACTCAGAGGTGAGAGGAACTTAAAAGTAATTATGTCTATTCTCCCAAATTAGAGCATAGACACAATTCTTGGGGCCAGAATGTAGATTAGCTCTTGGGGCCAGAATGTAGATTAGCTCTTGGGGCCAGAATGTAGATGAGCTCTTAGGATGAACTGTCTTTCTTACTCCCAAACACCAGTTCATTTAACAAAGGTCCAGAAATAGTGACCTCTAGGCATTCTATTTCTGATGCTCATCAGAACATTTCCTCTCAAACATAGCATTTAGAAATAGACATGAGCGATTTACTTTTTTTTTTTTTTTAGACGGAGTTTTGCTGTTGTTACCCAGCCTGGAGTGCAATGTTGCGATCCCGGCTCACCACAACCTCTTCCTCCTGGGTTCAAGCAATTCTCCTGCCTCAGCCTCCCGAGCAGCTGGGACTACAGGCACGTGCCACCATGCCAAGCTAATTTTTGTATTTTTAGTGGAGACGGGGTTTCACCTTGTTGACCAGGATGGTCTCGATCTCTTGACCTCGTGATCCACCCACCTCAGCCTCCCAAAGTGCTGGGATTATAGGCATGAGCCACCGTGCCCAGCCCGCTGTTTACCTTTTAATCGTTATTTATTTATTTATCTTTTAATTATTCAGAAATAATTCAGTGGTCATATGAAAGACATTGCTATTTTCTAATGTGGCGTAATAAACCAAAACTTGGAAGCAGCAATGCAAACAGGAAGCATTCACTTCAGACCAAAAAGACAACAACTCCAATTTTTTTTTTTTTTTTGTAAATTATAAAAAGGACAAAGAAGGCTGGGAATCATGCAATCTTGGAATTACCCTTTGGATAGAATTTCGCTTGCTATCAGTCATGAAATCCCTTCCAACCAATTTAAGGCTTACTTTCACTTACATGCGCTTCCTTTAGTACATTTATTTTTAAAACAGCTATGCCCTGGCAGCCTCTCCTCATTTCTTATCCTTTTCCTCTATCCTTTGCTGTTATGATTATTTAAATAAGTAAAGTAGCAATAAACTATGGTAAAAATGGCAGGTACTTTAATATAAGTCTCAGTCACGCCCTTCAAAAACATGTGGTATGAAATCAACCTAGATTCAAACAGTTCCACAGACCTTTACATCACACATGGATGATCTTGGTAGATAATCTGAGCGTGAAACTCTTGTTTGAGTGGCAATGGATTAGCTCATCTGGATTATTATTAATGGGGTGGTGAACCCTTTTCCCCTACAATGCTGGGCTCCAACTAAAGCCCCAGATAAACTGTCATGTAAATCCACAAGATATAAAGGCACACATGGAAAATGCCTATTAGAAGCTCTCATTAATATCAAGAAACAGTACGTTACCACCAAGCCCAGGGCAAAAGTAAATATGTGTGTCATCCCTTTAATTTTTTAAATTTTGTCTTTTTTTTAAATAGAATCATAAAGCTCAACTAGCAAGGGATTGAGCAGGAACAGTAAGACCTGTCTCCTCTCATAAAATCAGCAAAGGCACTCTTATCACCACACAGAGCAGTCAGCACGTGTGTCATCAGGCAGAAGTGGAAGTTTTGATGTTGAGAATCCCAGCTGCATATTTCTAGCATGAGGGGCTTCCTGTCTGCTCAGTAAAACAACAGATTGGATCCAAGAAAGGAACGCGGTCCTGTCTCAGACAGAGCTCCAAGTACAATACTGAATGCGTGTCAGACGGGTGTCTCAACAGCATCATCAGAGAAGGGCAAGGCACAGGGCTGGGTGGACTTTTTGAAAAGTAAAGATGAACTTTCCCGTCATGAATGACAGTGCTGATTCAGTTTCCCTTTACAATATGTTCATTGGAACTATTTTTTTTTTTTTGCCCTGTAAATGATATTGGATATTTCCATGCATTTAGCAACTATTAACTATAGTGGCAACCATATTAGATGTTTGACTTATGTGTTTCTCTTCTTCATAAGAGTTTAAATTAGACTATTCTCTGCTTGTATCCTCCATTGTTTGGATAGTATTTTTTATCTCTCCCATTTCACAGACATCTTCTAATTAGAATTCTACCATACAACAATAAGTAATAGTATATTAACAATACTTTACATGTGGAACCTTTGGCATCTATCTGCAAATCTGTGAGGAAGGTCGGTATTTCTTTTTCTTAAAATCATTATAAAAATCTGGTCACTCATTTATTTAACAAATATTTACTGAGCACCTAGAATATGCAAAGCTCTCTTCTATAAGCTGAAACAAAACAAAAAGTGAATAAAACAAACAAAAAGGCTTATTTTTGTTGAGTTTATATTCTAGTGAGAAGAGATAAATAAAGAAATAATAAGTAAAACATATGGCATGTCAGGCCGGGCACAGTGGCTCATGCCTGTAATCCCAGCATTTTGGGAGGCCAAGGTGAACAGATCGCCTGAGGTCAGGAGTTTGAGACCAGCCTGGCCAACATGGTGAAACCCTGTCTCTACTAAAAATATAAAACGTAGTGAGGCATGGTGGCAGGTGCCTGTAATCCCAGCTACTCTGGAGGCTGAGGCAGGGAGAATCGCCTGAACCCAGGAGGTGGAGGTTGCAGTGAGCTGAGATTGCACCACTGCAACAGAGCAAGACTCAGACTCTATCTCAAAAAAGAAAAACAACACACACACACACACAAACAAAAACAAAACAAATGGCAGGTCAAATGATGGGGCAGATACCACCACTGTTTCTTGATATTGGATTCCCCTCTTATTTCTGAGCACATGAAAATTGTATGTCCTCATCTCTTGAAATTAGATATAATCATGTAACTAATTCTAACCAGTAGGTTGTGCACAAAAGGGATATAAACCATCTCCAGGCCAACTCATTAAATTGTTGGTGCCAGACCCTCCAACTCTATTCTTCCCCTCCTGCAGGGAAGCAATTGACCAGATAGAGCCTGGGTCTTGAGTGGCTACAAGAACAGAGGCCTTGGTAAACATGTCATTGAGCAAAAAGTATATGTTTGTATGTTTCCAGGTCTTTGAGTTTGGGGATTTGTTGCTGAGACATAATCAAGTCTAACCTAATGAGCACAGAGGGTGATAAATGCTGAGGAGGAAAGTAAAGCAGGCAAACAGTGAGGAACAGTCAGGGTGGGAAGGGGCACAATCTTTGATAGAGAGGGGAGGAGGCTTCACTTTAGAATAAAGCCCTGAAGGAAGGGAAACAGATCGTAATAATGGACCATTCAGATATTTGGAGGAAGAACATTCTAGGCTA